ACTGTTAAAAATGTGAGATTTAGATACTGCAGCAATAGGCCATTTTAAAATAACCAAGAGAGATAAGAAAATGCACTTAGATGTAACTCTGCGACATACTAGTTGGTGTTTGTTAGTATGTTACTGTCCAGTTTTAGTTTATTAAGGTCTAGACACGCATACTTTCTGCTGAAGTTAGTAGGAGCTGCAGGGGCTTGGAGCTCGGTCACTAGCTCTTGGTACAGTGATGAATTTTTCTCAGATCGGATGAGGGAGCTTAGCTTTGTGCTACGGGCAAGGAATGTTCCCCACAGAATTTTCCTGTCTATTTTAAAGCATTTCTTTTCATTCAAATCGCAGAGCTGCGAACAGGTAAGTATTCGGGTTGACACACATGGCTGGTTTCTCTGACACAAGACATGAATATGAGTTTTGGTAGAATTGAGGCTGAGACTTTCAAATGAGAATTGAACTCTACTCTCCCTTAGCTCACATTAAAAAAAATCCCAATCTACTCATTTTTTTTCCCCTGTTCTAAAATTTCCTTCTATTATTAAACACATTTTATTTTTGGATCAAATGGCTGTCAGATACCCACTTGATTTTCTTACAGTGTTATTTCACCAAAATCAACATCTTACTGAATCCAGTAATTGCTGTGGAGTCAGTGCTCTTGTTTTCAAAACAGTGGTTTTTTATTATGAAATTATATGCTAAACAACATTTATATTTAATTCTAAAGCTTATTAATAAACTGTGCACCTTATGCTCATTATCTTCACCCCAGTACCTTCTTATTTTACAGTTGCATACATTTACTTGAATATTTATGCAAACAAACAAAACGGTAATGAAATCACTGTACATTATTAAATCATGCTGATTTTCTTTCAAGCATTGCAAACTACCTGAAATGAAATCATTATCAATATTAGTCGGTCTAAGTATCTTCCCCTTTTCTCTTTGGAAGCGACAGATGTGCTTTGGAAACAAATAAAATCTTTGGAGAGCAGCGTTTTCCAACTATGACTTTTTGTTAACACTGGTTTAATTGAAACTAATATGGTTGATTAAAGTTTAGGGAGTGAAAATGCTGAAATGTACGGAGAGAGAAATCTAAAATCCCGTGTCCAGGTATATTCTTTCTCAAGTAGTTTCATA